GATTAAAAAGTTGAAAGTGTCGATTAAAAATCGTAGAATTTTCCTTAATTTTGTTAATTAATTTTAATTTTAATTAATTTTTAATCGCATTTTATAAAATAACTTCAAGTACGCAGTTTTATAGCGCATTAAATTAAAAATCAACGCGATTTCGTAACAACCTCATTTTTACACATTATTATACTAAAATTTAAGTGTTGATTAAAAATCGTTGAATTTTCCTTAATTTTGTATAAACCTTGAATTGCTTTGTATGATTTTGTTTTAAGTATGATCCATATTTTTATAATAAAAAAATAAACGAGTTTAAGCTTCCAAAATATTGCGAATATTTAAAAAATCAATGGTGTATGCAGACTTTTGCTGTAAAGTGTTAAGTAAAACTTAACTTAAAACTAATATTTACATTTCTTAAAACCTAAACTATTAATATTATTTATGAGTTGCCGAGAGTACTCGCGAGTCGGTTAAAACCCTCGGCACAGGCTTTCATACCTTCGCTAAGGACGGTCATAGACTGCGCCATTGCAAGCGTCGCCTCCGTCTGCCTTGCGGTATTTTCAGCCAGCATCTATTGACAAAAAGTATATATTAATACGATTTATGTAAAACATATCTAATAATAATTACTTCTCACCTTCAAAACATCCGTTTGTCTGGAAGAGTTTTCAGCCAGCATCTATTGATAAAAAGTATATATTAACACGATGTTTTTAAAATATAATCAGCCCTATCGCCGATTTTATGTGAATAAATTGTGCCCATTATTTAACATGCAAAACAAAAACAAATTGGGAAAAATTGTTTTTGTTCTGCTTTATAATTTTTGGGAATATTTGTTCACGTTAAAATCGCGATAGGACCTAGTACCTAATACAAATCGACAACTAATCCGACATGTGGCATTTGACCATAGTTTCATATGTAACACTTTACGCTGAACCCAAATATTAAGGCAAAATAATATAAAAATGTATAACAATTTTTGAAATATAGCCAAATTTAGGTTTTTTGAGATCTGAAAAAAGTTCTCTCAAGTTATTGCATTTTTTTTTGGATATAGTCAATCTGCAATCTCTTTTAGATTTAGGTAATATTATAGACAATCGCAAATTTATAGACTTTACTAAATTTAAAGACATTTCAGATTGCAAAAACGTATAAGAACTTTTTTCAGATCTCAAAAAAAAAAAAAATTGGCTATATGTAAAATCTGTTTACATTCTTGTATTATTTTGCCTTAATATTCGGGTTCAGCGAAAAGTTTTACATATGAAATTATGGTCAAATGCCATAAGTTGAAATTTTTATTTTTTATTTCTGTAAACTTGATTTCTCACCTTCATGGCATCTGCTTGCTTCTCAGCGACTTCCAGAAATTTTTTCTGGACATCGCTCTCTTCCTCCGCCCGCTTCCTCTTCAAAGCCTGTGCTGACCTGCACCTCGCTGTCTTCTCCAAACACTGACGCCGGCGTCACCGCATGGAAGACAATATCCTCCCCATCCTCCATGACCAATTGAAGCTCCTAATAGTTTAAAAGTAAATTAAAAAAGTATTAAATAATAATAGAAATAATTGTATAACTATAAGCTCACCTCTTCCAATGGCACATTGTCAGGAACCGCTTCGTGACCCTCGATGTAGTTGATCCCAATTAGATCAATTACCCGCCTCTCCATCTCCGTTAAAGGCGGCTGGTCGATGGGCCTGTTGCCTGTTAGAGCCTACTGCCTCTTCCGGTCACGTACACGTACGCTTGTACGGCTTTTTAAGTCGCGCCAGACCTGTTTGCAAAGTAATGAAATACATAGTTAACAAATATGTAGTATATAAAGCATTGCAGCATATTTATGAATGATCAATAAAATAAAAGGTAAATTAATGTGCACAAACAAAATTAAACAAAAGTCCCGGGGGAAATGTTAAGTTATTTGTACAACGATTTTGGGGTAGAGACCGGAGGGGGAGTTGGCGTGGCCCTCCAAACCTCCCTTACAAAAAAGAGGATGGACCGCACTTTATGAAAAGACACCTTGGGAGCTGATTGCAAAAATACCATATTTCAAACCTAAATTATAGATAAATTAATGCACAGCTATGGTAAACCTTTTGCTTAAATAAAGTGTATACTCTTGTCTATAAGTGTGTGTAAACGTTTTTTGGTTCGTCTCACACGTTTGGGCACAGCAACCCAAAGTCGTTACACAAATAACTCAACCGTACCCAATATGTTAAAAATTAATTTGAAAACTAAAGATTACTTTTCCGAATTAACCAACAACCTGATTCTTCATTTGCACATTTTAATTAAAAAATTGTACTTCACGTATGTACATATATATTATGCTAATTGTTTTTTTATCGCACTCTCGAAAACTGCTTCCTATATACACACACTTAAAACACAAGATAAGTACTTACCGAATGCCATTGATCCACTTCTCCGTGAGAAGGTCGATCATCACGTTGAGCTGCTCCGCTGATGCCCGACTCCTTTTAGCTCCTGCTCCACTGGTAGACGCCATTCTGAAATTATAAATAAGAACAAAGTAAATTCTTATACATATTAATTAAATAAATAGCAAAATGTACTCCCCTTTTCTGCAATATGTGGACGAAAATTAGCGGCGCGAAGAAATGGCTTTGTTTTTTTTCTGTTCCGCTTTGTGCTTTTCGCAAATTTGACATTTCGAACAGCGGAGATGCCACTTTTTATCAATTTGAATTAATGGAAAAAGTCAGCTGTTCACTGTCGTTAATAATGAGTTAGTGAATCGCATAATCGTTATTGACAACGATAAAAATCTTTAATTAACAACTCAACAAATGCATCGTTAAGAGTTACCGAATCGCACTACAGATTATTGTTACCCGATCACTGCTCGTGTTTTAACGAAATGTGATTGAAGTTGAGCTTTTGAAGACGCATTTGAATGGCAGCAGCTGAACGTGTAGAGACGCTCGCTGTTACTTGTAAGCCCCCAGAATGTTCGGGTTCGAATGCCGTCATAGACAACATCTGATTTTAAATTTTTGTTTTTGGTTTTTATTAATTTCGAAAAAGCATATGTGAAGTGAAGAACAAAAGCATGTACAAATGAAAAAACATAACAACAATGCCATTATTAATATGTTGGAGTAGTTTTGTACTACTCTGATATAATGCAGAGATGGAGTATATGGTCTTGCCCTAGGACATCGCAATGTAAATTGGACCATATTTTTTGTATGACTTCTGGTGAATTTTGGAGCACTCCTTGGTCCTTAGGGAGTACTCTTTACATGCATGCATGGCGTAGTAGCAATTTTTGCAGGGATCCGCTGTTGAAAACAGCTGAGTGCCGTATATTTTCAGTTTTAGGTACAACGTATAAGGCTAGGCGTACATTGCATCCGA